ATTACTCAAACTTCAATCCCTGCCCTCTCTTTCAACAATTTCCTAACCAACTTTTCTTCAAATAACTCTTGTTCCTCATTCATCTCCAACTCTGCGCTAGTTCTCAAGCAACCCTTCACCAAATCCATACCTTCACTCTCATTGTGATCATCCAGCCATTTTGAATAGTCCGACTCAGTCCATCCATAAATCTTATGCGGTAACTGTAGTGTGTCTATGGTATTCGCGTTATGTGTGAAAGTGGACGTAGATGATCTCACTATTATATGATGAATCAATATCAAAAGTGGCAGATTTTGTGTATGCTGTTCCTCGGCCATTTGTGAGTTATCAAGAAATAGTAACTGCCTGAATATTTTTATAAATTTGGAAATTTTAAAAACCTATTAAACATGCAAGCAGAAAACAATAAAGGAAGCATGCATACTTGAAAGCTCTCAGAGCATTATATTCATTTGTTAACTCTTCTATGCTCGAACCATTCTCAATAAGTAATTGATTTAAAGAGAATTCTAGTTGACCCATGTCTCGGGTTAACTTTAACTTTCCATTTTCGGTCAATGGACGAACTAAACTTGCGTGTAACATCCAAAAGTAAAGAATTCTTTTACCCAATGCATTTGTCCTGTTTGGGGGGAGTAATTTCCAACATGTTAAAAGAAATTAACGTAGCTTTCTACTATGGTCATCGGTGACAGGTAAATGCGCACCATTCCTTTCCATTCAGGCCACAGGAAATTTTTGACATCAACTCTTTTTGAATGTAGTTCATACGATCCGAAAGTTCGATCATGTAACCACTACATTGCGCCTCAGTTTGTTGCGGAAACACAAGGGTTTTGACGGGTTGTCTAGATTCAAGAGCGAAATTCTCGTTACCATTTTCGGAATTATTAAATTATGATCTCAAAGAAATCTGCCATTGGATGATGATAATAAAAGACAAAACAAGAAAAAGACACACGAGTTACCTTGAAAAATCTTCTTTGTGAATTTTGATGATGATAAGCTCGAGTTCCTTTTTAATGTGCGTAAATAATGGATCAACAATGCCAAGCATCACTTTTCTAGTATGCTACAATTTAATGGATAAATTAACACAAAATTCTAAAAAAAAAAAAGAGATCGAGAGAGAGCAATTCCTCACCTCTATGGCATCAAATACTATTTCAGTTATGTCATCTGGGTATTCTTCAAGTACCTTCCACACTGATTGATGTAAATTATATAATGTATTGATGAGTTCGAAATTGATGTTTTGTGATGTTGTACATGGTCCAGGACCAGTCACTTGGTATGCAGTGGAGTCCACAACAGCCTGTAACATATATTTAAAGGGATCAATTAGAATACACCAGCTTGTTTTATATGCAGAAGGCTACATAAATGTACCATATTTTCGGCCTTGGTGCAATACAAGTTTAAGGCTTTGACAACGTTCTTTGCGACAGCGTGCAACAAACGCGAATCGAGCTTGGCCACCTCCAACTCACTAGGAAAAGTAAGTGAATGGTGTTAAACAAAGAAAATATTTGTATAAACCCTGTGAATCATACCTTGACATGGTTCGAACTATATTTGTAACATCGGATTTCGATGGAGGAGCGCGATGAGTGCCCGTCGGGAAAGCTACATTGACAGGTTCAAACAATCTAATGACGGATCTCTCCAAATACCCCATCTCGAAACCCAAAATGCTTTGCAACATTATCAATATTTCTTGACTAAAAAAAGTAGCATAAGATTGTCATCGATTAAAAAAAGTGAAATAAAATGCACGTCTTAATGTCACCTTTGAGAATCCCCGTTAAACTTTAGATATCCTTTAACTTCAAGTTTCTCAAAAAAGTTGTGCATCAAACGAAGTAGCCTCGGATATCCATTAACAAATGGTTGCTGTACAGATGCGATACCTGAATCAAGCAGATTTTTCGAATTTATTGGCGATTATGATAAACACGTAAGAAGGGAAGAAATTACCTTTGGTGGCTTCCTTCAGTTCTTTTCCAAAATTCCAGGACAGGAGTTTCCAAAAATGTTGTATCAATCCACCATCCAGTATCTAATATTTCATCGGAGTCAGTAACAACTAAATCAACAAATACCGATTCAAAGATTTACAGCCTTCACCAATATATATACAGTGTACGCAGGTTAAAATCTAACAAACATTATTA